TAGCATTTAGGACAAGAAAGTTGCTGGACAGCCAGTTACTGATCTGGGTCAGGCAGAGTACAAATGTGGCCAGCCTGTCCAACTGGTGTGGCATAAAGGACATATAGAGCTGTATATCATCAGCGTAGATGTGGTAGGAGATGTCTGGGAAAGACTGAATGATGCCAGCTAGGGGAAGAATATAGAATGCGAATAGTAGAGGCCCTAGAACTGAACCTTGTGGAACCCCGCATGTTAGAGAGGCAGTATCTGAAGAGAAGGTTTCGGACTTCACTGTGAATGTTCTGTTGGTGAGATAGGAAGAGAGCCAGTCTAGAGCAGAACCTGAAATCCCAGCCAGGGCCTTTAACCTGTTTAGTAGAACGTTGTGGTCTACAGTGTCAAAAGGAGCCTAAGTCTCCTCCCCTTCTGGCTGGCTCATGGGTCCCCGATCAAAAAAAACAAAACAGAATGTTAGTGAACTGGGCTATAAAAGTTATTTTCTTGTCTTTCTGGGCTTTGCCTTACGCCCTGAGTCACATCTGTCAGACTTTTCTAATCCTAGAGTTTCACCGTCTATCAGATTTTCTATCAGAAGCTAATGCAGGAGATAGCAGCAGGAGACTATGTTCATGTTCAGCCTGCATGAAACACTCAGTGACACGTTAGAATCAGAAATAATCATTTAATGTATTTTTTCAGTGAAGTTGACCTACGGTATATATTGACCTATAACAGATTTGTTAGATTTCCAAAATGTGTCCCCCCCCAATATTAAACTCGTTCCTACGCCCTTGGGTAGAAGACAAGCAGTTCATGGACATAATGTCAAAGTCAGAGATGGCCATTATTACTTGAAATTACCTTTTCGAAAATCTGAAGTAAAAATGCCCGACAACAAGCGGGTAGCACAGCAGAGGGCGCAATGTCTGCAAAGACAGTTCCAGAAGGATCCTTTCTTTGAAGAGTACAAAGTGTTTATGCATAATGTTAATGTGGAGGGACATTCAGAAATCAAACCACAAGATCAGTTAGAACATGAAGAGGGAAAAGTGTGGTATATACCTCATCATGGGGTTTACCACCCCCGCAAGGAAACCCTGCGTGTTGTGTATGATTGTGCCTCAACATTTGCTGTAACATCACTGAACAAAGAACTATTGCAAGGACCAGATTTGACTAGCAACTTAATAGGCGTGCTTATTCGCTTTAGAAAAGGTCCAATAGCCCTTATGACAGACATAAAAGGGATGTTCCACCAAGTGAGAGTAGCTAAGGAACATGTAAATTATTTACGGTTTCTCTGGTGGCCTGATGGTGATCTGACAAAAGATCTGGCAGAACATAGAATGTTGGTCCACATTTTTGGTGCAGCATCTTCCCCGAGCTGTGCAACTTATGCATTATTGAAAACTGCTGATGACAACCAACATCTCTATCCAGAGGAGGTTATAAACACAATCAGACAGAGTTTCTATGTAGATGACTGTCTTAAATCTGTCCACTCTGTTGAGCAGGCCATCGCCCTCTATCAGCAACTCACAGAAGTGTGTGCAAAAGGGGGATTTATGCTTAATAAGTGGGTATGTGTTGATCGCTTTGTTCTTTCTCAGATCCCAGAGGAAAACAGAGCCGCAGGTGTAGAGACACTAGATCTTAGTCAGGACCAGCTTCCCACAGAAAGAGCCCTAGGAATACGGTGGGATGTTGAACATGATGTTTTCTCTTTTGGCATTGTGAAAAAGCCCAAGCCACTTACAAAAATGGCACAAACTTGGCAGAGATGGGTTGAGGATTTGGTTCTTCTTGATAAGTTTATTATCAGAAGATGTATCACACCCAATGGATTTGGAGAGATAAAAAGTGCACAGTTGCACCACTTCTGTGATGCTAGTGAGGCTGGATATGGTTCTGTCTCTTACCTTAGGCTAACTAATGACAAACAAGAGGTGTGTGTTGCTTTTGTTATGGGTAAAGCAAGGGTGGCTCCATTAAAACAAGTCACTATACCACGCCTTGAACTTGCTGCTGCAGTTTTGGCTGTACGCATGGACAAAATGCTGTCAAGTGAACTTGGACTTAATCTGACTGAATCAGTCTTCTGGTCTGACAGCACAACTGTTTTACAGTACATTGCAAATACAACAACCAGGTTTAAGACCTATGTAGCTAACAGAGTTTCCATCATCCGTGCTCTGACAAAGCTTTCTCAGTGGAGATACATCAGTTCAAAGTTTAATCCAGCTGATGCAGCTTCTCGTGGCATGAAGGTTGACGCTTTCCTAAAATCTTCCACCTGGATTAGTGGTCCAGAATTTCTCACCAAACCCAAGGTCCACTGGCCAGTGTGCACTAAAGAGATGTCTGTTCATTTGGGAACTGACTCAGAGGTGAAAGATGAGGTCCTAACCTGTGCAACTGTGATAAAAGAAGAGGAGTGCCCCATTACTAAGCTGCTAAAGTACTTCTCCAGCTGGAAAAAGTTAAAAAGGTGTGTGGCGTGGATCCTGAAGCTGAAAGAGCGACTCAAGCTGCAAACAGTGAAAAAACTGTTTTTGAACGTACCCTGTGGAAGTCAAACATGATAAAAAGGAAAATAAATGGGATGCAGTGCTCACAGCTGAAGATCTGTCAATGGCTGAAAAAGCTATAGTGACCCTTGTGCAAAAAAATCATTTTGGAGATGAACTGACTGCTTTGAGTTCTGGTTCTGTGAAGAAGTCGAGTTGTCTGTACAGGCTTGACCCTGTTGTCTCAGATGGTGTGTTGAGAGTGGGTAGAAGACTGAGCAAAGCAGCCTTACCTGAGGAATCCAAACACCCTGTAATTTTGCCAAAAGAAAACCATGTTTCAAAGCTCATTTTTCAACATATCCATGAAATGATTGGTCGCAGAGGAAGAAATCCCATGCTTTCAACACTTCGCCGCCACTACTGGATCCCACATGCTAATTCAGCAGCAAGAAAAATGATCAGAGACTGTATGGTGTGTCAAAAGCCAGGTGAGCAAAAAATGTCTGACCTTCCCATTGACAGAATTTCAGCAGATTTTCCACCATTTACTTATGTTGGTGTTGATTACTTTGGACCAATAGAAGAATGCAGGAGCATTGTTAAAAGATATGGAGTACTCTTCACATGCCTAACCTGTCGTGCAGTTCACCTTGAGGTGGCACATTCTCTTGACACAGATTCCTGCATAAATGCCATCAGAAGATTCATCTGCCAAAGAGGACAAGTCAAGGAAATCAGGTCAGACAATGGAACCAATTTTGTCAGCTCAAATCGTGAGTTAAAACAAGCCATCTTGGGGTTAAAACAAAGTAAAATCCAAAACACTGTGGCACAGGGTGGCATAAAGTGGACATTTAACCCACCTTATGGGGCACACCATGGTGGAGTGTGGGAGCGGCTGGTGCAGGAAGTAAAGAGAATACTGTGCTCTATTACAAACTCGCAAGTTCTAGATGATGAAGCCTTACATTTTGTGTGAAGTGGAGGCTATCTTGAATGACCACCCAATTACACCTTCTAATGATCCTGATGATTTGGAAGCCTTGACTCCAAATCACTTGCTCCAATTAAAGGGTGAGCCTGTGCTGCCGCCAGGTTAATTCAGAAAGAAGGATTCTTATTGTGATGTTATGAGAGAGTTAATTATTAATGTTCCATAGGGAGAAAGATGTGATGTTATGAGATAGTTCAGGAAGAACTCAATTACCCAGAAGGCTAGAGAGCAGATTAGGAGGGAAACTGCATGGATGTTACGGTAGTGGTGGCTAGTGCTAAATAAAGATCTGGAAAAGGAGTTTTCACGCCTCATTTGCTTATTATAAGATTAAGCGAGACAACACATGGTGTCAGAAGTGGCCGTGAGCAAGACGATGGACAGATTTGCCACGGGGGAGCAGCGAAAGACGGATGTAGAGGGAGAGTCTATGGAGAGCGTGAGTAATGGCGCGCTACAGAGCTATATGCTAAAGACCGGTGCTGCATCGTGTGACGCCCGGGAGCGACGGTAAAAGTGAAACTGATCACGTGTGGTCACTTAGAGCAAACAGAAGAGGAATCGGTGCCTGTGAGAGCAGATAGACAACAGTAAAGAGCTGCAGTGATTGAGATACCCCGACGTGCTGCCATGGATAAGCTAAGCCCGCCCTCATCCATGCAAGTGGCTGGTAACCTTGCTGAAAACTGGAAGCGCTTTAAGCAGAGGTTTAATATATATTTGACTGCAAGCGGAGCAGGGGGAGATGATGAAAAACTGAAAGCTCACATCCTTTTGCATGTTATAGGGGAAGATGCATTGGATATATATAATAGCTTTCAGCTGGATGAAGCTGATTTGACTTTGGCTGACGTGATGAATAAATTTGAAGAGTACTTCGTACCTAAACAGAATGTGACCTATGAGAGGTACAAATTTTTTACCCATGATCAGAAGCAGGGGATACCTTTTGATCAATATTTAGCAGAGCTTCACACATTAAGCAAATCGTGTGAATTTGGGACTTTGAGAGACTCGCTAGTAAGAGACAGGATTGTCTGTGGAACTGTGGATAATGCACTGAGAGAGAGGCTGCTCAGAGAGACTGGACCTACACTGGATAAGTGTGTCAGCATGTGCAGAGCAGCGGAAACCACACGAGCACAAGCAAAGGAGCTCCGGAGAGGTGAGACGTCAGTGCATGCTCTAAGTAAAGATGGAGTAATAAAGAAAACATTTACCAAACAAAAGTGCCAAAAAGGGAAAGCTACAGAGTTCAGATGTGGTAAATGCGGAAGCAGTCACAGACCAAAATCGTGCCCAGCATTTGGGAAATCCTGTAACAATTGTGGGAAAATGAATCACTATGCCAAATGTTGTAAAGCAGCTCCAAAACAGAAAGTTCACACAGTCGATGAAGAAGCAGAGGATGAGTAGGAGTTCATTGTAGATGAAGTACACACCTCTACATCAGAGAAAGAGGAATGGGTGGTGCCAGTTGAAGTTAATGAGACAATAATTCCATTCAAGTTGGACACAGGGGCCCAGGTTAATTTGGTATCATTGGAACGTTACAAAGCTATGACAAAAAAGAGCAAAATGCATCCGGTGAAAATAAAAGTCACTGGATACACAGGAGAGAGAGTTCCTGTTAAAGGTGGATGTGTTGCGACATTCAGATACAAAAAACACCAGATAAGAGCACAGCTGCTGATTGTGGATAAGAGTGTACAACCAGTCCTAGGACTCAGTGCATGCGTAAAGCTCAACCTGGTTAAATGGGTGTACATAGTCTCCACACCAGAAGCCCCGAATGATCAGGATTCCCTCATGGAAGAATATAAAGACTGTTTCGAAGGACTTGGATGTCTCCCAGGACAACATAAAATATGTGTGGATAAAAATGTGCCACCTGTTGTGCATCCCTGTAGGAAAATCCCATTTGCACTGCGGGAAAAACTAAAAGACGAACTGGCACGCATGGAAAAACTAGAGGTCATCAAGAAAATAGATGAGCCAACTGAATGGGTCAGCTCACTGGTGGTTCTACAAAAGAAAACAGGTGCTCTCAGAACATGTTTGGATCCACGGGATTTAAATAAAGCAATTAAAAGAGAACGTTTCAAGCTGCCAACCAGAGAAGAAATCATGGCACAGTTTGCCGGAGCTAAATGGTTCAGTAAACTAGATGCCTCATCAGGTTTCTGGCAGCTGAGGCTGGACGAGGAGAGCTCTAGACTTTGTACGTTCAACACACCTGAGGGCAGATACAGGTTTCTTCGTCTGCCATACGGCATCTTGTCAGCTCCTGAAGTCTACCACAAGACCATTCATATGATTTTTGAGCACATTCCAGGAGTGGAGACCATGATGGATGACATCATAGTTTGGGGAACCACTAGAGAAGAACATGACCAAAGACTGAGACAAGTACTAGACAAGACAAGAGAAGTCAATCTGAAACTAAACAAAGATAAATGTGAGTTTGGAGTGAAAAAACTTACATTTGTGGGAGATGTTGTCAGTGAGAATGGGGTGAAGCCAGACCCAAAGAAAACGTCAGCAATATGTAACATGGAAAGACCAAACAACAAAGACGACGTCAGAAGGTTTCTAGGAATGGTCACCTATCTGGCAAAGTTTGTCCCACAACTGTCAACATTGTCAGCACCTCTCAGAAGTTTGCTTGAACAAAAGAATGAATGGATCTGGTCCCATGAACAAGAGCAATGTTTTCTAAAGTTAAAAGAGATTCTCACACAAGAGCCAGTGCTAAAGTTTTATGACCCAGAGAGAAGCACCAGAATCTCAGCAGATGCATCACAACACGGACCGGGTGCAGTGCTGTTGCAGCAACATGAGGAACAGTGGTTGCCGGTAGCCTATGCATCCAGAGCTTTGACAAGTGCAGAGACACGATATGCTCAAATAGAAAAGGAGCTGTTAGCGAGCATGCATGCTTGTGAACGTTTCCATCAGTATGTCTATGGCCAAACTTTTGAAGTGGAAACTGACCACAAACCACTGGTGTCCATCATGTCCAAACCACTGAATGACAGTCCAGTAGGGATACAGCGCATGCTAATCAGGCTACAGAAATACGACGTGCACATGATCTACACAAAAGGAAAGTATATGTACACAGCTGATACATTGTCAAGAGCAGTGGATAAAGAAGAGCATGAAGACCTTGAGAAAAGTCTGGACATACAAGCATATGTTGACATGGTGATGACATCTCTGCCAGTATCTGCTGACAGATCAGAACAGATAAAAATAGAGACAAATGCAGATGAAGTCATGAATGAACTTAAGAGCACAATAATGAAAGGATGGCCAGAAAACAAGAAAGAGTGCTCAGCGAAAATCCAGGACTACTGGAACTGCAGAGGAGAACTAACTGTGGTGGATGACATAGTGATGAAAGGGAGCAAATATGTCATACCATCCTCGTTACGCAAACAGATGCTCCAAAAGATCCACGAAGGTCACCTCGGAGAGGTCAAGTGTAAACGCAGGGCAAGAGAAGTAATGTACGGGCCAAGAATCAACCAAGACATCAGCCAGACCACAGCTTCATGTGAACAGTGCCGCATCTACAGGCCCAAACAGCCGGCGGAGCCACTGCTGGCTCACCCAGCACCACACAGACCTTACTATAAGGTAGGAACAGACCTGTTTGATTTTGATGGGAAAAGTTACATAGTGGTGACAGATTACTTTTCAAACTATCCAGAAGTTGGGCTACTGCAGACAACTTCAGGTAAAGCAGTAATTGCTTATCTAAAGACTGTCTTTGCCAGGCATGGTGTCCCATGTGAACTTTTCTCCGATAATGGGCCCCAGTTTTCCAGCTGTGAGTTTGCCACCTTTGCTAAGGAATGGGGGTTTCAACACTCAAAATCAAGCCCCATATATCCAAAGTCCAACGGCTTAGCAGAAAGCTCTGTCAAGATAATAAAAACATTAATGAAAAAAGCTCAGGACAGAGAGGATTTTCAGAAGAGCCTACTGATCTATAGAAGCACACCGTTGCAGAATGGAATGTCACCAGCTCAGATGCTGATGGGGAGACGTATTCGATCCAACCTGCCAGTCAATGAGGACCTGCTGACGCCAAAAACTGCACATAAAGTTAAGGAAGCAAAGGATGGACAAAAGGTGAAACAAAAACAGCTGCATGATCACAAGGCGAGACACCTGCCTTCCCTGAAGCCAGGAGACAAGGTGCGTCTCAGACACATTACTACAGGGACCTGGAGACATCAAGGTCAGGTGAAGGAGGAGGTGGCGCCACGTTCATACAAGATCCAGATGGAGGGTGGAGTGTCCCTGAGGAGAAATCGAGTAGACCTTCAGCTACATCCAGAAGGAAAAGACACAGAACCTCAGGAGACAGTGCAGCAGGACATGGAGAAATCTACAGAGTCAGCAAACAGAGGGTCAGAAGACGCTAGAAGTGGCCCGTCACAGGATTCCGCGTCACCTGCTGCTGAGAGACTTTTGAAAACTATGACATCACCACAGGGTGAAAGACTGTTGAGACCAAAGAGACATGTTCAGCCACCTAAGAGACTAATTGAGAGTTGTTAGAGTAAATGTGGCAAGGTGTTCTACTAAAAAAAAAAAAAAAAATGTAGAGAGAAGCTGAATGCTTATTTGTTCCAGGTGGAGGGGTCATTTTGTCAGTAAGGTTATGATGTTCGTCAGGAAGGTTGCTTCCTAACAGATCATTATTATTGTTCTATAGGGAGAAAGATGTGATGTTATGAGATAGTTCAGGAAGAACTCAATTACCCAGAAGGCTAGAGAGCGGATTAGGAGGGAAACTGCATGGATGTTACGGTAGTGGTGGCTAGTGCTAAATAAAGATCTGGAAAAGGAGTTTTCACGCCTCATTTGCTTATTATAAGATTAAGCAAGACAACACACTTATGTCCGCAGACGATGGAGACAAGTCCAATACATTGTGGATCTGTTCTGGAAACGGTGGGTAAAAGAATACCTTCCCATGCTACAGGAACGACGAAAATGGACCAGGATTCGCAGGAACTTTGCCATTGGTGATGTTGTACTCGTGGTGGATGAAACTGCACCAAGAAATTCTTGGCCCATCGGACGCATCACTGAAACTATGGTAGATGCACATGGCTTGGTACGCCGTGTTCGAGTCAAGACAAGGACAAACCTACTGGAGAAGCCGATCAACAAAGTATGCCTCCTGATGGAGGCCATCTAGAGGGATCAGTGAATGTTTCCACCCTGATTTACAAATAAATTCTTTAAAAATCCTGCCATGTGATTTCATGGATTTTTTTTCACATTCTGTCTCTCACAGTTGAAGTGTACCTATGATGTAAATTACTGACCTCGGTCATCATTTTAAGTGGGAGAAATTGCACAATCGGTGGCTGACTAAATACTTTTTTGCCCCACTGTACACCAATTAAAATTTGCTTATATTGTGAATATATTTAAAATTAGCAGCGTTGCTCTTATTTCAAGTTGTATACGCCCTCAATATGCAGCTGTGAACAATGCGTGCTCACATGGCGGAGCAGGCAGGTGGAGCCTTTAGCAGGCAGGGTAACTTTTGTCTGCATAACACCTGTAGCTTCAGCGCGCAGCTCCGTGCTGGAGAATTAGAAACCCAGATGTTTTGCAGTCTGTTGGCAACTTCTCTTTGTTCATTAGCATAATTTTCTCTGTCGACTGGCTCCGTGTTTTTGTCTGACTTCACTGTGAACTGTGACTGTTGGAGGTAAACTGGGAATTAATGGAGACCGGTGATTTGCTTTGTTGATGCCTGAAGGGAAAAGCCTACAGTGAAAGTAGCTTGTTTTGAAGGCTGCGAATCATGGAGCTGTGTCCTTTCCAGCATGTTGAACACCCAGTATGCACACATTACAAGTGTCTGTAGCTCTGCCGTTGCTGTCCAGTTTAAGACACCACCAAGCTGCAGATATTTTAGCTCTCCTGAGGAGAGATGTTGGCTCTGAGTAAACAGGCTTGCTAACAGCGGCACTTGGTGTCCGACTAGTTGCCCGCCGTAAATTGTGTGACGTTACTGTGATGTTTTCATACAAGAAACAAATATTATTAATGTAGAGGGTTACTGAAATTAAAACTAAGAGATTTTCAAATTCAGTAAAAATGGCTATCTTGGGATTAATTGTAAAAGTCATGTTTGTTGTTTTAAAAGGTTAAATCAGATTTATTTCTCCCGATTCCGATCCTTTTAAAAACCCGTGATCTGGCTCGATTTCCAATCACGTTAGGGTTGCACAATATATCATAAATGCATCGTTATCGCGATATCAGCATGCACAATATGCATAATCGTGAAGAAAAGATAAATATTGCAATGAATGGTCAGCTCAAATGTTTGCTAAACATAATGCATGCTGTCAAACGGAATCATTATGTTTTTTAATAAATCAAATAGAGCTCTTCACTCATTTGGCCAGTTGGGTGGGTTCTCATAGGCCAGATGCCCGCCCCCGAGGCGGACGGCACTTAATTTTGATGGTTAGCAAACACCTGAGTTAGCTTTGTTCTGCTCTTTCTGCTGATTCTGCTTTTCCCAGGATCCACTGATTGCCTTTTCTTGTTCATTTTGTTTTTCCCTTTCCTCACATCTTTTGCTTTTCTCATGTTTACAATTTTTTTGTCCCTTTTTATGTTTGATTATTTTTGTTCCTGAGTTAAGTTTTTATTTATTTCAAGTAATATCATCATCGTAATATTAATCACTGTTATCACATATCACAGGTTTTCCTAATATCGTGCAGCCCTAGATCACGCGATTGGATCAAAGCATTCATACCTGTTACTGATGGAAATGCTGTCATTATGGGTACAATTCCTCACCAGCTGTCCACCAACATCATCACTTGTCAACAGTGGCAAACTAGGTGGAGGGTTAATGGCGAAGAAGAAACTGACTTGGCCTCAAGGATTATTTCAGTTCCATTTTCAAGATGGACATTTCCAGAGAAGCTGATCCTTATTACGAGAGGCCACTCAACCCTGTCGCTAGCTAGTTTGTCTACGATTCTCAGCTTTGGCCTCCATGTCCATAGCGAAGGACTTACTGATGGAACTAAAATGCAGAGACAGCTTTATGACACTTAAGTTATTGAAGTCTTCCTGTGCAAAGAGGAGGATGATTTTTTTCTATAAATCAGCAATTTTTGATGAGTGTTATTAGATGTATTTGCACATAAAACTACAGGGTGGGTCATTTATATGGATACACCTTAATTAAATGGGATTGGTTGGTGATATTAACATCCTGTTTGTGGCACATTAGTATATCCCTTACCCAACGTTTAAATTTTCTAACGTTAAAGTCATTTGAGCACAAAAAATGCATTTACAAAGATAGCCAGTTGAACACTTTATTAAAGCACATGAACAAAGAAAAAGTGTGTGTGTGTGTGCGTGTGTGTGTGTGTGTGTGTGTGTGTTTGAGAGAGAAAGAGAGAGAGAGAAACACAGAGGGGGGTGAGCTAACACCTGCAGGTTGAGCACACAACTGTTGAGTGCTCCTTGCACACAGCCTGTCCACATGTTTTGCAAAAGCGTGCATGCACGCTCCTCTTCCCTCTGCAAAGCTGGCATTTTTCCTTTATTGTCTGCTCCTGGGCTGGACCTGGCTCCGCTTGCTGCTGCACCTGCAACAAAGCTGCAGCGCTGCTGGACCGCGGCAAGCGAGTGCGCCTCGCCTGGGCTGGTCTCACCATGGAGCTCCCAAGCTCCTGCAAGAACAGCCTTCGGCAGATGCTCCTCTTCTGCTGGTTCCAGGCCGGTTCCGGACAGCGACAGGACCAGGGCATTGTAAGCGCTCACATCTAACATGTTGCGGAAGAGCGACATGGGCCAACGTCTGGTCTTGCGACGGCAGCTGTATGTTGCAACGAGCTGGAATAAAAATAAATGAATAAATAAATTACATATGCAATTAGGTTGGCGAATTATAATAAAATAAAATAAATAAATTACCTTGTCCAAGTTGTCGACTGCCCCTTTGCAGCGGTTGTAATCGATGATTACGGTCGGCTTCTGCTGCGGTCCCTCCTGACTGACTCCCCCTCATCTTCAAGCTGCTGAAACACCTCCAGGGCTTCATTCACGTTGAAACTTCTTCTCTTGGTTGCGGTTTAAAGAAATGAATCCTGATCTGAGTCTCATATATGTACTTTTAGTCAATTGGTGCACCTGTGTAAACTAACCCTAACTGTATGTAAACAAAACTGGCTCTGCAGGAATTTGTTTAGCAAAACATCTGTACGCCTTTGAAGTTTTTCAGCCTTCATCTTCGCTTTCATCCATGCAAATGCTTTGTACTTATTGAAGTAACAATTTGCAAAAATAAAATTGTGAGTGTCTGAAATTTAGCAGAAAATCCTTTGATTTTTGATATATAGCATGCCTTTGATGAATATTCATGATGTCAACAGAGTGTGAGAACCTGTGCCCCCCCCCCCCCCCCCCCCCCCCCCCCACACACACACACTCCCATGGCCCACACCTGCTCAACCACTCAAGATAATGATCACAGATCTGTCTTTTGAAGATCTGTAAAGTGCTTTTATACCTACATACACGCATGCCTGCACAAGCACACACAAAGGGACAGATGTCAAAATGCTATTTTGCAGAATAAGCTAATTTTGTACATTCAGCAAGGCTTATTTTTTGACAGAACACTGAAAAAGCACAATTACCAAAAATTCAGAACACACACATGCAAACTATTGTATGGCATCTCTAAATAACACACAAACCATTTTTTTTTTTGCAAAATATGTATTATAATGGGCAGTCAGAGGTAAAGAAATACAGCTAAATCATTCAGTTTAAATGCTGGGCCAGCCATTGCCCAGCTATATATGGAGAAAGTACGCCATGTAGTGAAAAATGGTAAACACTGCTTCTTACATTTGTGATGAGACTGTAAACATGGGCACACTCATAATTTTTTTTACAATTAAGCCAATATTTATGCTAATTAAAAAAAATATGATTACTTGAAAGTCAATGGCACAAAAAATGCTTCAATGTGCTTAACTGTACAAAATGATTTCCACGTTTTAATAAAGTAGGTTGAATATTTTTTCAAACTTTTTTGTAATTCCTTCCAAAATACACATCCTCCATAAAAATTAGATAAATTGCATTAACGTAGCCAAAGTTATTCACAAAAATACACGTGTCAGCACAAAACATGCTCTAATGTGAGGTAAGGGATATATGAGGGGGCAAACTTTTCAAGATGGATGGTGACCATGGTGGCCATTTTGTAGTCGGCCATCTTGGATCCAACTTTTGTTTTTTCAATAGGAAGAGGGTCATGTGATGCATCTAACTTATTGGGAATATCACAAGAAAAACAATGGTGTGCTTGGTTTTATAAGTAACTGCATAGGGACCAGGAGGACAAGTGGGACGTATCCCCCTAATATTGGAAAAATGTGCATTTGTCCATTTAGAGTTAAATACTTATATATTTACATAAGTAAGCAATTTAAATACTGACAATGTTATGAAATGTCTAAAAAGTGCTACAGGGTGGCAGTGACGTGGGGGTC